AAACTGAAATAAAGTAGGGTTATGTTTGGTGCTAAGAAGAAATTCTCTGTGAGGGGCACAGGGTGCCCAGAGCAGCCCCTGGATCCCTGGCAGTGCCCAAGGCCAGGCTGGCACTGGGGCTCGGATCAGCCTGGGACAGTGGGAGGTGTCCCTGCCATGGCAGGGGTGGCACTGGATGGTTTTTAAGACCCTTTCCAAACAGAGCCATTCTGAGATTTAAGATTCCACTGCAGAATCCTGTCTGAAGTGAGATGGCAGCAGTGCAGATGCAGAACAGCCCTGCAGCACCCAGGAGGGACAATAAATCCAGAAAAGCTTTCTCACAGCATCCTAGGGCAAGAAACATCCTTTCCAACCATGGCTGCACTGATTTTTTAGCAGCTTCTTGCCATGAACACTGCAAAATCAATACTCAAATTGATGAGAAACATGATAGAAATATTTTTTTTTCCTTTATCCTGCTGCCACCATGAGACTTTGGGTTTGCTGTAGGGCAAAAGCCCCTATTTGGAAAGAAACCTTGATAATTTCAGAGATTCAAGTAATTTAGCTGCATATTTGTCTCCAAAAGTGCTTTTCAAGCAGAGCTTTGCTGTGCAGAGTGAGGATGAGCAGATCCTCCTCCAATGTTCATCTCCTTTTACAGATGAGTTCCAACCATGAGAGGGCCAAGAATACAAGGGTTAAAGAGTTACAAAAGGTTTCCAAATGTAAACATTTGGTTTACACCCAAATCAATAATAAATGTCAGGCCAAAAGGCATCAGGAGGGACATTATTATTACTGTAAACAGCACCAAGGAAATCTCATCACTGGCCAAGAATTCACAAAAGTATTTGTGAATATTTGCATGGGGTACCTAGAGTTTGGATATAGCTGTCACTTGGATGTGTGGTGTTTATTCCATTCCTGGTTTTCCAGATGAGAAATTGAGACATCTTTGTGTATGCAGAACAAATCCCTGACAACCTGGCAGGGAATTCAGTTCTTGAAATAAATCCAGCTGTTACCTGGATGTTAACTTCAGGCCATCTCTGGAACAATAAAAGAGTACAGAAATGTGGCTGGTTAGACTGGCAGGAGACTGGCTGGTGGGTTTCTGCAAAAATACTCATTTTTCTAAGTTTAAAAAATAAAATTAGCTTTCTAAACCATAGTAACACTTGATACAGTCAATTCTCCCGAGAGAACTCAGCACAGAAAGCATGAAAGATTCAATCTCTTTTGCTTTCTCATATTACCAATAACAAGCTACAGAATAAATATTTTAGAATGCTACCCTGTGTTTCTCTAATTTGGGATGTACAAAGTTCCATGGAAATGAGAGTTAATCTTATTGTTTTTGGGGCAAATCTAAGAGATTTGATGGAAAAAAAAATGTCTGATATCTTAATTAAGGAACAGCAAAGAATAACACTGGCAGAGAAAGGATTCTGTACCTCGATGCTCCTTTACTTCAGAGCCCAGTGTGCCACAGACAGCATTCAATTAAATAATTTTAGCAATAAACAATGACAATACACAGAACACCACACAACATCACTCCTTTGGCTCAAAGTAATTCCAGTTTGTGACTGAACAGCTGTTATGCAAAACAAGAAAGCCTTCACATCCTACAGCTGAAAAGGCAGGGAACAAATTGGCAGAGGAAATTTAGATTGCACATCCCTTGTGGAGTGGTTTTATTTCTTGTGCAGCTTGAAAACAGCATCAGTACAACTTTGGTATTCACCTGGAAAAGGCTTAGTTGGGAGAGCAGTCATTGCTTGTCCAAGGGAAGCTCTGTTTGAAAAGGCAGCAATTTCCAACATCTCCAAACAAAACCATTTGAAACAAAAAGCAAACAGAATAATTTGTTCTGGAATTTTTTTTTTCCCCATGGTGCAGCACACCCAAGATACAGTTGTTTTCTCATAGGGATGTTAATAACAGGAGTAATAATAAAATCATGCTGGGAGATGATGATGAGGCAGCACAGCAAGGGCTGTGGAGAAACTCACAGTCCTGGCTCAAAGGAGAGCTCTGGGAAGATCATATTCAGAGTTTTCTACTCTAAGACTTTCCAGTGGTTTTATTTTCCCCTCCTGAACATTATTTATGTAATTTTTACAGGAAAAACAATCAGCCACTGGAACAACCTTCCCAGAGTTGTGTCACTGGAGGTGTAAAAGATGCAATGAGACAGGTTAATGATGATTTTATGATTCTATCACCTCACCTGTGCTCCCTTTCCCCAGAAAAAGGCTGGGCCAGATCAATCATCTTTGGAGGTGCCTTCCAGCCTGGCTGTTCTATGATTTTGGGGATTCTCAGAGATTGAAGAGACATTTCTATGTGAAAACCAGCATGCAAGCACTTCCTGTGGGATCATTCCTTCTAAAATCACCTGGAATCAGCCACTGCCAGAAAGGGAAGATCCCATTGCCTGGATGAGGGTACTGAGGCCAGCTAGCATGGGAGGGATGCCAAACCCCAGAAGAGTACAGAAAATCAGGGAATTACATTAGGATAGAGATTTTGTGAAGCCAGAGAGGTCTCTAAAGGTTGATTTCCTCTGAGTGCAACTCTTATCAAGCAGGAAATTATGTGTTAAAATGATGCAGGTTGATTAAATGCAGCACAAATGCCACTGTCAGTAGTATCAACATAGAGAAGATGGACTCTGATAAGGTAAACAACCTCTTCCTCCCCAATGAAAAGCCTAATCACCATTTACATGTGTCTCAGAAAAGCTCTGATTGTGTAAAAATTCTATATTAACACAACAACTCAAGTGTTGTGGTAATAGGAATTCTCTTTCACAGAATCATATGAGTTCTCCATTTCACAGAATCACAGAATTTGCTTTCCTTCCCTTTTTTCCCCTTTTTCCACCTGACAAAAGATAATGTGCCTTTACCAATTAGGCAAACACAGGGGGAAAAGGGAGTTTCAAGAACATAAACAATATATTTCATAAATAAAACCTGGCTTTCTCTTGCCCATTGGTTTGGTGTGAAACAGAAGCATTTTTGGCAGGACAGCTGAGGAGAAACTGAACTAGCTCAAGCCAGTGGTGAAAGAATCCAGGAACTGTTCTCAGGATATTGGGAGGCTAAAAAATTACAGGATCTCACAGTCTTTGTGTGAAAAGTGCCTTAGGAAGACAGAAGTGAGCAGGGAATGAAAAATTCTCTTGCCCACAGTGATAAAAGGTACCTTTCTTTCTCATCTGCATCCTTGTCCCATCAAATACTGCTCCCTCCCATGCAGGTATTTTATAACCTGTTGACATTTAATCAAAAGTAGTTCTGCTCCTCTGACACACAAATTCTGTGGCCAGAAACCCCTTTGCTACCCCTGTCCTACAGCTTTACACAAATCCCAAGCCTCTGGACACAGCCATGGCACCAAGAAAAGCAATGGAGGTTAATTTTAATATCCAGACATTTATACTTTGGAAGAATTCGTTGTAGAGATTGTAAGGCAACGTTTAAGGGTCAAGTAGTCCATGGTAATAGAGACTTTCAAAGCTGAAGTCGTTCCTACTCATATTTCTGCTAAAACATAGAATTTTTCATAAATACAATAAGCACAGACAGGATTTTTACAACCACCAACCCATCCTCACTGTCAGACACAGCAGCTGCTTTATCCTCAGGGAAAAATAAAACCCATCAGCAGAGTTCTGTGGCTCAGTCTGCTGCCCCAAAGGACCTTGTTCCTCAGCCACAGCAGGGTTTGCCCTTAGGGATTTCAAGCAACAACATTTTATATATATATATATATATATATATGTATATTATATATATATATATTTAGTTTATTTCTTTTTGCTACCAGCTCATTTTCCCTGTGGGAATAGCACTGTCTTCTTATTCTTGACATGCAAAAGTCCAGACTGCACATCCATGGATGGAGAATGCAATGAAGGGGCTCTGACCCAGCCCAGGATTTGCATCCCCAGCAGTGATGCAAACCTCACCCTTTATCCACTGGGGCACACTGACTCCATGTGGCAGGACACAGAATATGCTTCAGACATTCCTTTTGCTTTTTCTTGCACTTCACACAACCTTGTGTGTGGCTGTGAACTTTGGAAATAAATTTTGGGAACAGAAGGAACAGAATCCATATTTTTTTTCCGTAAAAAGCAGCGACATGGGGATAAAAGAATTCATGAATTGTGTTGGTAACAGAGTTTTTCACACAAATACTCACCAGGAACACACAGTAAAATACAAAGGCTATATATATATATATATATATATATGTATATATATATAAAAAGAATGCTTTCTCAAATGTTTATTACAGGATGAAATAAGTCTAATTGAAAAAAATTCACATCCTGAATTTCATCAAAGGGGACTGATTGCTCTTGAGCTAAAAGCAAGATTGAAAGAGGAGGTTTTAAAAATTACATAAAACTGTATCATATTCTTCTTTCAGTTTGTAATTGGTTTGATTGAAACTTGACTAGAAGACCATAAAAATTTGTTTCAGCATTAGCTCTCTGGCTTAAGTAGCACTATCACTGTCTGATGGGTACAGGGTTTTTCCCATGACTAAAATGGAAATAATTGGTAATATTTTCTTCCACACCACACTCATGCCCACCCCAAAACCCCAAATTCCACCTACTTTACTGATGTTGTTAGATACAAGACCTAAAGAAGATAAGAAACAAAGACAATTCCTGTTTTGCCCCTTTGTGTCTTCACATTTCAGTCTCTACCAGCTGACCACAAGGACATTCCACCCACTGTGAACAGATCTTCAGGTGCCACCTCCAGACTTGGAAACAAGTGACATGGTATGGCTGAAAGGGTTTTTGTACATCACAAGTGCTGCAAAATTTAGGATTTCCCTGCTTTGGTTAAGGTGTGCAATGATGCACCTGCCAAATCTCAATCTTGGTGCGCGACTGCAAGGGGGTGCTAAATTTGTGGTGAGATTTTTTTTTTTCTTTCCCTTTCTGTTATTTTTTGAAGTGTAAGGTCTAGAGACAGCGTGAGAACCTCAGACCGGGGTGTTGCAGGGTGATCTGCCAATTTCAGCTTAAATTTCATTGTATAAACGACGAAATTCAATTCCCATCTCTGTTTGGTATCCAGCAAACAATCCTAGTAGAAATTTTCCAAAGGTCAGTGTGTTTTTCTGTGTCTCTGAGTACTGTCCAAGCCCAAGTATAAATTAGTAGCTGTACATCTGCTGCTGCTGCTGCTCTGTCTGGACGGGCTGCTGGCCCGGCTGCTGCGGCGCGGCCGGCGCCGGGGGCTGCAGCACATCAGTCTGAGGCACCGACCTCCAGCTCAGGGGGTGCTGTTCTGTCATCTGGGGGGTCCCCAGGGGGGCAATGGAGTTCACCAGGGTGGTCAGGTTTATGAAATGGGCCACGGACTGGGGGTTGGGAGCCTCGGGCTGCGGCGGGAGCTGAATGTCGCTCTGGCGGTTGTGCAGCACGGCCGAGCCGCTGACGGTGTCGAAGGTGACGGTGAGGATGGAGCTGTCCAGCTGCAGCTGCCTCTCGGGGGGACACAGGTGGCCCACGGCCACGGGCTGCAGGTTGGTGAACTGGGTGCCAGCTGCCGTGGTGATGGGGGTCACGGTGATGTTGGTGAGTCCCACCGAGCTGGAGGGTGCTGAGACGTTCGGGTCGCTGAGCGTCACCACCACCTGAGGAGAAACACAAAGGACACTGAGGGTCAGCACCACCTGAAGAGAAACACAAAGGTCAGCACCACCTGAGGAGAAACACAAAGGTCACTGAGCATCACCACAACCTGAGGAGAAACAGAAAGGACACTGAGGGTCACCACAACCTGAGGAGAAACACAAATGTCACTGAAAGTCACCACCACCTGAGGAGAAACACAGAGGTCACTGAGGGTCACCACCACTTGAGGAGAAACACAAAGGTCACCACCACCTGAGGAGAAACACAAAGGTCACTGAGGGTCACCACCACTTGAGGAGAAACACAAAGGTCACTGAGTGTCACCACCACCTGAGGAGAAACACAGAGGTCACTAGGGTCACCACCACCTGAGGAGAAACACAAAGGTCACTGAGCATCACCACAACCTGAGGAGAAACAGAAAGGACACTGAGGGTCAACACCACCTGAGGACAAACACAAAGGACACTGAGGGTCACCACCACTTGAGAAACACAAAGGTCACCACCAACTGAGGAGAAACACAAAAGTCACCACCAACTGAGGACAAACACAAACATCACTGAGGGTGACCACCACCTGAGGAGAAACACAAAGGTGACCTCAGCCTCAGTGACCTGATCACTCAGATTCTGAGTGAGCACCAAATACCAGGGAAGTGCTGGTGGGCTCACATGGTGCCAGCAAGAGAAGCCACACACAGATGGGAAAGTAGGAAATTTGGAATGTACCAACTTCCAAGTGTAGAAGTAAGATGGTGATGGGAGAGAGGGATATGCAACATTCAGAACAAACAGACAAATTAACTTTCACTCTTTTAATCCCAGCTTCAGCCAGTGATATCTTCAGCAACCAAATTGATGCCAACACAAGAGGGAATGAAACAAACATGAGGAGCTTATTGGTCCAATTTCTTGGGTTTTTAAACCCATCTTTGTGTTACCACAATTTATCCAATCAGCTCCAAATGTTCCAACCACTCTGTTGTGATGTTTTTTAACCAAAAGAAGGGTTATCCCTCTAAGCAATGGCACCCATCACCCTCCTGCTGCAGCTCACCTGTTGGATGCTCTGCACAGCTGAATTGGTTTCATCTCCAACATTCCCTGTGAATTCACCTTCCTTCTCTGTGTATTCACTGAAGGCAGGGTCCTCAGGCACTTGAGCTTCCTCCTCCTCACCTGACTTTTGTTTTCTTTTCTGGCCACTTTTAGGAGCTTTTACATGCTGCTTCCCTTCTGGTAGTTCACCCTGTTCCAAGGCTAATTCCGGCTGCAGCAACACATTTCCAAACAAAACATCAAGTCCTTTTGCTTAGTGAGGTTCCAAGTAAGAGACAATCACCTGAAGCTGGTTTACTGTCAGTTCTCAAGCAAAGAAACAAACTTTAGCAAAATCCTGACTCCAGGGATTGAGACCTCACCCTGTAATTATGTCCTGCCTGTTATACAACCAAGCAGATCAGCAGCTTGTGGCTGCTTGGACATGTTCCACTGGGGCTGACTCTCTAAAAAAGCACATTCCTCACCCATCAGCCCACGCCCAGCTGTGTTCTGTACCCACAAAGTGCTGTCCCACCTCCCCCTGCAAAAGGCCTGGAGCTCACCTGAACAATCCCAATTGAAGAGGCATCAATGGTGGTTGTCTCTGGCAGTGGCTCTAAATCATCAATCCTCACTGAAAGAATCTGAACACAGAGAGGTGTCAGCTGCAGCACTGCAAAGCACAGTCAAACAGCACAGCATTTCCCTGATAAACCCCATCACCAAGCAAAAGTGATGCAATCTTAACACTTTACATGTAGTACTTATTACAGGGAGTTAACTGTGGCTTTTTAAAATAAGCTTTTGGCATATCACCTTTTCCCTCTTGCTGAAATCCAGCAAAATTTAAACACAGTAAAAGAACATGTCCATTTTCATATTCTAGACAGAACATAACCCTCTGGGACGTGATGCATTCCAACATGTTTGGAAAAAATGAAATATTATGTTAGCATTTCAATTTATAAACCTATCAACTGTGTCCTATTTCATTATTTTCAGATGAATCTACACATCTCAGCTCATCAAAGAATGGAGACAAATTGCCCTCTGGATTTCAGATATGTAGCTGCATTTTAAATCCCCAAATCAATAAACAAAGCATTTTGTTGACTTCCTTCACAATCATCATGATAAAACAGCAAAGCAATGCTAATGAAAAATTGGTAGTTAAAAAAAAATTTTAAAAGCCTCAAAGGGAACAGACAAGCCTTAATCAAACCTAAACAGGAAATGCTGAGGAGAAACAATATTTAGAACACAGAAAAAACTCTGGGGTCAGACAAAACATCCCTCTAATCCACATTCTCTCCAGTCAGCATTCATCTTTAATACTGAGAATAATTTTGCATCATCAGCAGATGCTGCCATCACCTCTCTATTCACCACTTCTTTCAGATCACTTCTGAATACAGGGAACACAATGGAGAAAAAAGAATGCATTATACTCACTAATGGATGGAGACAAAACATGAAAAAAACATACATTTAAGCCAGGGTAGAAAAAGAAAAGAGATTTAAATGATCAGAACTTCATTTTTAGGGACTGAGAATCAGATAGTGAAATGGCTCATTCAGTTAAGTCCATGTTTGACAGATACTACTTAAAATTGGGCCCAAAAGAACAGGAAAAAAAGGGAGAGAGGGAAAGACAGTAATTCCTTTCAAGTCACCAAAGGCCATAAACATTAAAAAAAAAAAAAAGAATTAAAAAATTCCACAATCCAGCACTCAAACTCACTCACCTCTGGGTGTTTACGTCTCATGTGTCGACTCATGGACGCCCTGGTGGAAACCTTTGTGCCACACAGCTGACAACTCTGGGCTTCCACCTTGTCATGGGTGAGCTGGATGTGCTTCTGCAGCATGTAATCAGTGACATACTTCTTGTCACACACTGAACACGTCCACTGTTTTCCTACTGGTGGCAGAGGGAAGGAAGGAAACCCAATGGATGAGCACCAGATTGCCAACACCTCAATGAGAGCAATAACTGATGTTTGGTAACAGGATGTGCAATGTTAGCTCCAAGACTGGCCAGTCTAAATCAAAATTAAGGAGCAAAATTAAGGTATTTTTGTTGGATACTGCTTTTTAGAGGGTTTACCTGTATGAATCAACTTGTGAGTCTCCATTGTGTTTCTCTCACTGAACGTCTTGCCACAGAGCTCACACATGAAATCTTTGATTCCTGCAGGAAAAGCACATTTGGCACCTGTGAAAGCAGCCTAAAGGAATCTGGGAGAATTCTGAGTTTTTTATTAGTAACATTAAAAAAATAAAAATCACAGACAAAAAAAAAAGGCAGAAGCCTACCTTCACCAGCTATTTTTAGCTAAACCATTCCACTATATCCAGCAGAAAATAAATATCAGAGAAACTGATGTGGGAAGTAAAATTATGTTTTGGGAAATCACAACTTGAGCACTAATTTAAACCCCCAACACTGCAGAGTTACCCTAGACCAAGAACCTTTAACAAAAGCAGAACTTGATACCAACTAATCTGCATTTATTTGTAGAACAAGGGGTCCTGGCTGAGGACAGGACAAAATCTCACTTTTCAAAGAGCAGAACATGCACATTTTTATCTGTTTTTGTCATACTGTTTGACTGCTCTAGGTAAGAATTCTCTTGGGAAAGATTTCACTGATACAGTGCAACTTTTGTCCATCTCTGGAGCTCTCACCCGTGTGTCTCTTGTAATGTTTCAGCATGTTGACTTTCTGTGCAAATTTTCTGTGACATTCCTTGCACTCATACTCCTTAATCCCCTTGTGCAGCTTCATGTGGTGACGAAGGGCATGTTTTGTCTTCATTCCTGTCAGGCAGAAGGCACAGGACACTTAGTCCATCACTCCCACCTTCAGGGGAGAAATCAGGCTCATGGTGTTAACCAACAGCTCTATTTTATATTTGCTGCAAGTCCACAGTTCCATATTTTTAATTGTTTATGTAGAAATGCACTTCATCATTATTATTTTAATTCCAGGAAAAAAGCTCTGGAACATCTGAGTAATCACTGATAGAGAAATAGTAGGGACAAGCAAAGATAAAACACCCTTAGAAGTGTCAGACTTACTACTGTCTTTTACTAAAATACCAGCTCAGATTTGTTCAAGTTGTAACATGAGAAATTAAAAAAGTCAAAGTGACTTTGACTCTTAAGGCTCTTACAGAGAAAAATTATTTTTTAAGCCTGTAAAAAGCCTATAATGAAAAGATCAACTTACATTTCCTTTTGTGCTGCAAATCAGGCATTCCTCAACTTGACAGAAACAAATGCTACTAAAATCAGTGTTGTGTTATAGCCCATGAAGCCAAACTGTACAAAAATAGGGCAGCTCGTGTAACAACAATGCTCCTGATTAATCCATTTTCTACCTCTGAAAAATGCAGGATTTACAGCACTGGCATTACTCTCAGCATGGCAGTTGTTTTAATTCAGATATTCACCTGCTACTCAGTATCACAATGAATGGAAAACAAGGCAGCAGACATACCTTTGCCACACTCTGCACACAAGTATTCTCGGATATTATCATGGACTCGCATATGTTCTTTTAACATGTCTTTTCTAGCAAATGATTTGCCACATTGCTCACAAGCATGACTTTTTACACCTTGAAAATAAATTTAAAAGACAACATAAACAAAAAAAAATGTTAATGAGTAATGTGCATCTCCTAAAAATTGATTAAAGTGGTGAATTAGAGGGCAACAGCCCACCTATGCTGACAAGCACACCTTTCATGGATATTGTAGCCCAAATTAAATTACAAGACTTTGAAGAGAGAGAAAAGCTGGCTTTTTGTGTGAGAAAAAACAGATAAAGCCTGAGGTAGGAGAAGACTGCATAGCATGAAATAGTAATGACCTGTTAAAAATGATTTTGCAATAGCAGGTTTCAGCCTGTGTAATGGTGAGAAGGTGGCATGGAGAAGAATTTGGGGAAGAACAGAATACAGAACTAGGGGAATCCTGCAAACATATTAACTAGGAATTTGGATTGTGTGTCCAGATCAAATCTCTTCATTAATATTCCCTGCTTTAGAAAACTGGTTTACTCTAAAAGAATAAATATTATATTTGTCTTGTTGTGTCCAGATCAAATCTCTTCATTAATACTACCTGCTTTGGAAAACGGGTTTACTCTAAAAGAACAATATTATATTTGTCTTGTAATGTAGAGTGAAAATCCTCTAGCCAAAAAAAAAAAAAAAAAAGGCAGGTACTGGTAACAAATTTCTCTTTAGTATTGATAATTATAAAGAAACAACATTTTTACCTGTATGTATAAGCTTATGTCTTTCCAGATTTCCTATACTGTTAAAAATCCTGCCACAGATTTCACATGGATGGATGTATCTGAAACCAAAGAGAGCAAACACTGTGATTCTTCTCTCAAGGCAGAGGTGATTCTCAGGCATCTCTGTCACTAAGTGTATTTCAATTTGCTAATACTAATTACTCCAAAAGTTCCTTGAGGTTTTTCTAAATGAGCCTTAAGAAACCCCCAAGCTGACTGCAAGCTTGGAGCAGTCTGGCATTGCTATACACTCAATTTTTTGCAAAACCATTTATTAAAACCACTGATTTACACTTTGCAAAGCCCAAACTGAGGGGCTGCTGACTCATCAACCTGTGTGAAGCCAACCACCAGCCACACACATTTCAAGCTCATAATAAACATTTTAACCCCAATTTCAGAGTTATTTTAGTCCAGCCAAATTCCCTAAGAGCACCCCAGGTGGCAGAACCATTAGAACTGCAAGCAGGCAGCTCTTCCCAGAGGAACAAGCCTTACTTCTGCACATTGGGGTCGGGCAGGTTCTCCCTGTGGATGACCATGTGCGCGTGGTACGTGGCCTTGAGGGCGAAGCGCCGGTTGCAGATGCTGCAGCCATACCCCTTCTCCTTGTGCACGTCCATGATGTGCTTCAGGTACTCCTTCCCTCTGCCAAAGGTCAGCTGGGGAATGAACCAATAGTGAATGCAAGGGCAAAAAAAGTCCTTGGGCACGAGCAAGTAACATTGAGCAGACACAAATATCCTGTGTCGCACTAAAATCCTGTGTGCCACTGGATGAAAAACCTGTGGCAGCTGGGTTTAGGCCTGAAACTCTTTGGACATTACAAGCACGCTGCTACAGGACATCAATTGACTCAATTTCCCTGGATGGAGATGGTGTTTCCACTTCTGCACAATAAAAGGACCTTGAGTGGTTCATGCACTGAGGAACAGCCAGGTTTAACCTGCATCAGCTCACCCTGACTACAGTGAGCAGTTTTGGCCACCACAGTACAGAGATGACATTAAACTACTGGAGAGTGTCCAGAGAGCTGCAGAGATGGTGAAGGGTCTGCAGGAGAAGCCTTGTGAGAGCCACTGAGGGCACTTGGTCTGTTCAGCCTGGAAAAGAGACTGAGGGGAGACCTCACTGCAGTTACAGCTTCTTGTGAGGGGCAGGCACTGATCTCTGCTCTGTGGTGACACTGACAGAACTTGGGGAAATGGCCTGAAGTTGTGTCAGGGCAGGTTTAGGTTGGGTATTAGGCAAAGGTTTCTCCCTCAGAAGATGGTTGGGCACTGAGCAGGCTCCCCAGGTTCTGGTCACTGCAGCAAGACAGAGCTCAGGGAGTGTTTGGACAATGCTCTCAGGGACATGGTGGGATTGCAGGGGCTGCACAGAGCCAGGAGCTGCACTCAGTGAGCCCTGAGGGTCCCTTCCAGGCCAGATGATTCTGTGATTCTGCAGAGTGAGGACACCACAGATGGAGGAAATGCCTGCTGGGCTCTGGGGCCATGGTGAGCTCTTGCCTGCACCAGCAGCTTTGGCAGCAGCTCCTGAAGGGCTGGAATCTGCAGGCACTGCAGGGCAGTGACCCTGGCTCAGCTCCTGGAGCTACAACAGACAGGTGCTGCACTACTGAGCTCCAGATGTGCACATCCAGATGTGCTCCAGCATGCCAGGATGAGGTGCCATACTGACATGGCCTTTTGCTGCAATTCTGGAACTAGTCAGGGCATTTCTAACAGCACTGCACAGCTTGCTGAAGATGTACTTTGACACCAAGTAAACCAGATTTTTTAAGAGCTCAGAAAAGAGATTTCTCCAAGAGTTATCAGTATTTGTTCTCCCTTTGGCTGTTCAGTGTCCCCATCTCCTCACATCAAATCCCATTTTCCACAGCTGTGCCCTTACACAACTGTTTACTTCACAAACACCTGCAAAAGCACTAAAAAAACCCCAACTTCCAAAAAGGTCTTTCTGATTTGAATGGCCCAACTGCCCTCACTTTTTATATAGTTTATGTACCCAAGCACACAATTTTATATAGTTTATGTACCCATGAAATGTCAGGCAAGAACACGATGAACTGCTGTGACACCACAATTTCACATATTTACTGACACAAAATTAAAATCAGTTTGCACTGAAAATCATCTCCCAGAGAAGAAAACTGAAATATTATTACCTCCAGGTCTTAAAATGAAGGTAAATTAAGAACTTTCACCACATTAAGTGTGGGCTGTGAAATCAGACTGATTTCCAATGGCTGAATAACCAAAAATCCCCTGTCCCTGAGTCAGTTTTGCTGTTCTCATTGAGTGGTTTTGCACCACACCTGCCCCAGCACGGTGTGCTCACCCAGGGAGGGCACACAGTCCTTAAGGACCCATTATTATTTCTTTAGAAAATAGCAAAAGCCACACAGTGAGAGGTCTAAAAAGTCTTCCCCTCTCAGCTGACAACTGAGTGAATTACATTCCAGCAGCATTTCCAACACCATCCTGTTTGCAATGGAGCAGGGTGAAAATAAACAGTCACTCTAAACATAAGCAGCAATCTTACTCCTCCAAACAGGATATCCACAAAAAAACCTTCTGACCTCATAAAAATTAATCAATTTGTGGACTCTATCAATCAGAAATGCTGCCACCATTTAAAGTTGCACATAATTAAAAGGCAGTTTGAGATCTAAGTGCTCCTTTATTGATCCTTCCTTCAGTTTTGCTTGTTTTCTTCCTCACAGGAAAAAGTGAATGTGTCTGTCTTTCCTTTCTTTAGTGTTTATCATCCCCCTTACTGGACACCACCTCAATTCTCATGGAACAGCCTCAGTTCACAGATCAGAGGTAACAGCACTGCAGAAGACAGCAGACCTGAGAACTTGCCTTCTCTTTGAGAGCTTTAATGTTATTTAAAATTCTGAATTATTTATAAATTCCCTCACTCCCTCCCCCATCCCAAAACAAGTTAATTTGAAAGTATTTAAAGCTACCTGGCACCTTTTGCAGCTATACTTGTGAGGCTCTAAATCTGCACTTTCATCAGAGTTGTCATCATTTTCCTCTGATGAGATTCCAATTTTACCAATGAACTCTTCCCTCTGGTGATCATCCATTAGGGCTATGTCCTGTGTAAAATAAAGGGAAAGAATATTTTGTTTTTAATCTATTAAACTTCTTCAAAAAGTAAGGCCTGGTCACCTTTTGCTGCCATGCAGATTGCTTTGCATTAACTGCTGTAATATTATTTATTAAAAATATCCTCCTGCTTCATTCAATCCAGAGTTTCTCTGTCCATATAAAGAATAACTTATTCAAACGACTAATATTATTTTTTCTGCATATAAAAGGAATTTTCATGTAAAGAGACTCAGCTGGTACAGTATTACATCAATAAAAGCATCTTTATCAGCACCACTGAGTGAAACAATTCCCTTTTAATTTCATTTCATTCCTAACAATTCAGTGTTGGCAAAACAATCTGATTATTAACACAATACCTTAAAATGGACATGAATATGATCTCTCAGCACATCCACCCTGAAAAATTTCCGTCCACAAATCTCACAGGTGTATTTCTTGTCTCCATGTGTTAGGAGGTGTTTGTTCATGTTGCTCCTACATGAAAATACCTAAAAGGAAAAGAGAAGGAAGGAAGGATTTTTGGATCATGTCCAGCAGGGCTACAGTTCTTTGAAACCTATCCAGTGACAGAACACATTTACTGTCACATTTACTGTCTTTTTTTATTCCTTCTGGCCAGAAACATGCAGGAGCTCCTGTTAGCAGTCTGCCTCAGAACTGCTGGCATGGCAAAATCCAGGGGCAGAGTTCCAAGGAACTGACTGAAACTGGCCATTTGTCAGGGCTGGACTTCCAAAAAAAGCTGCAGCAGAATTATACAGAGTAGAATTTGAAATATTTAGACAGCATCTTTTGAATCACCAATGTTCCATCTATCTCTAAAAAGATTTTGCCACAAAATCTACCTTGACTGGTATGAAACATATCCAAAGCATCAAAATCAGAGGCCTGCAGATCAGCTGAAGAGTTCTTGAGTGCCTTTTGCACCATGAATCATTAAACATTTATAAAATCACAAGTTAACCCCACACTCCTCGTGACAACAGTGACTTATGATCATGAGTGTTGAACATTCAAATGCAACCATGCCATGACTACACCATGAATTCACTTTTATTCCCCATGGAAGAGGATTCCCAATGTTAACTCCAGCTGTTTACAACCAGCCAGAAAAACTCAATTTTAAATAACATAAGCCATGAGACCCCACTGACACACACAGTGGCCATGTGACACTCTCCATTGTGCTGCATGTCCTGAAATTCACTTTTGCTCTCATCTCTGTGCTAACAGCTCTCCCCATCCATGGCCACGGTGGGCTTGGATAAATAATGGAGCTACAGGTGTTTCAAGAGGAATATCCTGACTGGACTCCACACCCTCCATGGGCAGCTCTTCCAGAGCTCTGCCACCCTCAGTGTGAGGAATTTCTTCCCTATGTTGAGGTGGAATTTGTTGTGTTTTATTTTATGGCCTCTGCTCCTCGTGCCATTGCTGAGCGTGGAATTCACATTCTCTGAACAGAGAGACATAATTCTCCCTCCCAGGATTTTGCCTAGAGAAGCACAGAGAGAACAGAGATAAGAATTGTTTTCTCTTCTTCTCTCTGTGCTTCTTCAGGCAAAATCCTGGGAGGGAGAATTATGTCTCTCTCTGTTCAGAGAATGGGAATGCCACAGCTGAGCACCACCGAAAAGAGTCTGGCACCATCCTCTGACACCCCTTGGAGAGATTTAAATGGATGGATGGATCCCCTCAGTTTTCTCCTGTGTGGACTGAACTGCAGCACCCTGGAGGCACAATGCAGAGCCTCTCATGGCACACTGGCACCAGCTCCTACCTTCCCACACACGGGGCAGCCCGAGGGCTCCTTCTTGTAGCGAACCATGCTCTCCGTGCTGTGCTCAAAGTCTTCCCTCTTCACACGCCTCACCCCTTCACACAGCAGTCCCCATCAAAAAAAAACACAAAACAAGAAATAAACCATGGCTTTCCACTCCAGCCTGCAGGCCTGCTCACAAGGAGACTGGGAAGGAGAGTGAAACACTGGGAAGGGCCTCAATGCAGGGTTGAATTGGTAACAAAAGGGTGATTTCTAAATTAAAATGTGTTTTGAGAATATAGAAGCAGTCTGCCAAAGTGATGTGTTATGGCTTATTGGTTATTAAAGCAACTATAAAGTGACTGAAAACACTTTTGGCAAAAAGATTTTTGTCAACACCAGGAAACAGGCAGATCTAGTAGGCCTTGGCACTTCAATGTGGTGTCTGGCCCAGAAATTCACCCTCACTAAGACAGAGAGGAGAGGAAATCTCTAAGGAGAGATGCAACCATCCAGCATCAGCTGTAATGCTCAGAGAGGATTTCAGACCTCTTTCTCTGCTACTTTCAGGAGGGCAGAGGGCTCCTGCTCTTCTGTGACAGCTGAAAATGAGACACTGCCAGTGTCATACAGCACCTTGTCCTCTGGTTCAGGACGTAAAATAAACAATCTGGCTGTTTTTTTGTTAAAAAATATCACTTTTGGCTTTATCATCTAAGGCACTAACCACATTCTAATACAAGTTGAGCAATGTACCAACTTTTTCCAGTCTTTGAGTACCTGTAATAACCTCAGATGCTTGAGACTTTGAACAGCAAACTCTCATAACCTCATTTTCATATATTCTCAAGTGTTTCAAAGATAACATGCTGACACTGTATTTATATAGTGGTCACTCTCAGCAAGTTAACTCTCCACCTTCAGATTTTCAAGTTACCACACAAATTTTAAAAAAGGAAGAATAGGATGCAAAGAAAGAAAAATACATAATTAAAATACAAAATTAAAATACATAATTAGCTAATCTAAACTGCTTCATAATAAGCCATGCAGCTTCCACATGACTGTTAACACCTCTCGACCCACTACTGTTATTTTTCATAAATGTCATATTTTTCTGAAACTTGAAACTCTTGATCAGGTAGCTGATTAATAAAAAGACAGCCACCATTCAAGATATAATGCACACTATGATTTCCTAACCTGTCCACTTTCACTGCTGTTTCAGGAGAAATAATTAGGTTGATCTGCAGTAAATTTACCTTCCAAGTGCCGCCTCTGATGGTCCAGCATGACATCCTTCCTGTAGAACATCTTATTGCAGATCTCACATGCAAACTTCTTATCCCCATGTTTTTTCTTGTGTTTTGAAAGGTTGCTGTTTGTAGAGAAGAATCTGAAACACATCTCACACTGGAATGTCTTGTCATCTGTAAGCAAGAGAAAGCATGCAGGTCTTTAGAGCTGAAAAGAGGTTTTGTATGTTTGTGAGACAGGCGGTTCCTCTGTTGGATCTGGGTTTTAAACATGGAATCCATCACTCTGCTCTAAGGGCAATTACCTGTGTGATTCTGGACTGAATATTATTGTGGGGCCATAAAAGTAACCAGGGTGGCATTTTTTGAGCATAAGATCACAGCAGAAATAATATGAGTAACCACAAGGGATGGCTATGGGAGAAAAGCACAGGTTGGAGTGATACTAAGAAAAAAACATTTAGAGACTACTGCAGAAAGCTGAGGAAAACTGCAATCCCAAAAAACTACATATTAGCACTAATATTGGTCCTGTTTCCAGTTCCTCTGTTTCAGAGGAGTGAGGTGGAACTTAGTTTTAGGGAAAAAAGTTAAACAGAGATTATCTGTGAACAAAGGAAACACCAGTGAAGATATTATACAAGTGAGGGGAAGATACTAAAAAAACCCAACTGCTAAGTGGATGTGTTGCTGTACAGATCATCAGTTATACTTTTCTTATCAAAAACAGGTTGCTTGTTGTGATGATGACAAAAACCTAAATCCCTACTCCCCTTCTGTAGTTTCTCTGCTGAGATGGATTTGGGGACATCTTCCCAGAATGAAGCAGAGATGCCAGAGGAAGAGTTTCCATTCTCACCTGTCCTGCAGTTGTGGAATTCCAGTGCACTCTCTATCCGAAAGGCCTTTTCACACGTGGTGCACTTGTATCTGTACTCACTGTCCACCTGAGGATCACAAACAGGAAAGGCCAAGTCACATCTGACAGAGAAATTCTAAACCTCAAACACCTCCTCTGTTTTCTGTTCTTTCCAATTTTTAATCCTTCAAGAGAGCATTTATCTACACAGTGGTGCAAAATTCTGATGCTGTATTATCCTGCCATGCTCCTACATCTGAGCTATAAAAACCCCAAAAACTATCCTCCTGTGTGGATGTGGAACATCTGGTCCAACACAGACACAGAAGGTTTGAGAAGCAAGATGTGATCTGACTCATCTTCCAGAAGAGGTGGCAACAATCTGAGAGTTAAGGACCCTGGTGCCAAGCAAGAATGGAAATTGTCACTAATAAGGTGCCACTACAGGTGTGTTTGATATTTCTATGGCAGCAGCATCAAAAGGGAGAGTTCACACATTAAAGGACTGATAAGTGGGGAGAAGTCAAACAGGACAAGCAAACAAGAATGGAACAATCCTATTTAGCAGCATAACTCAAGTCAGATCTCACCTCTGTATCATGCAGGTCCAGCTAACTCCAGCTTGTCTTGCTGGAATTAATGCCTGAAACCAATTTTCTACAGGAAAAGGGTTTGCACATGCTCAAAAGCACTTTTCAAATCCATCAATTATTCTAAAATAAGATGTTAACACTCCCTTCTCTGTCCCTTCTCACTCCCATGGGATACCTGCTCACCTGGAATCTCACTGTGCCTTTGCACATGAACCCTGCCAGAGCCCCTTGCACTCACTTCATTCCTGCTGTGCTTGTAGGAAACGTGCTGCTTCAAGCTCTCCTTCCTGCTGAACAGCTTGGCACATTCCTCACATTTAAACAGTTTGTCACCTGAGGGGATCAATCAAGATGAAAGGGAAGTAGTCAGTGATTGATAATAACCAACTCCAGGCAGGCAGGGGAAAACAAAGCACAAGCAACTGCAAACACACAGGCTAGTGATGAAAAATTTAGTATTTCAGCAGAGCTAACCAGTGGATTTTAATCATTTCCAACAATTTTGGTTTAGTTCCCCCACCCTTTTTCAGTGGTGATTTTTCATGGAACCCTTAGAATAGGACACAGACCCCTGGAACTGCAGATCACAAGTGGAAAAACACCTGACACTTGCACAGCTGCTACCCATGTGCCTGTGGGGGTGATATTTATGTATCAATTTAAAGGCAATAAAAGCTTTGGAAAAAACATCACATCCTTGCCCTCATTTAAAAGATGTAACTAATTCAAATTCTAAATAACTTCAACTTCAATTCTGCATTATCTATTGCATTAGATAGCATAGATAGATAACATAGATAGATAGATAGATAGATAGATAGATAGATAGATAGATAGATATCTTCTATATCTCAGAATAGAGATCTTTTCATGCTTTGGTCTGAAAAATTAAGTTTCCCTCACCCATGTGCCTGTGAAGGTAGGGGTGATATCTATATATCAATTTAAAGGCAATAAAAGCTTTGCAAAAAACATCACATCCTTGCCCTCATTTAAAAGATGTAACCAATTCAAATTTTAAAACTTTCAACTTCAATTCTACATTATCAATTGCAATAGATAACATAGACAGACAGACAGACAAATAGATAGATAGACAGATATTAGATAGATATCTTCTGTATCTCAGAATAGATATCTTCTCATGCTTTGGTCTGAAAAATTAAGAGTTTCCTTCACCCATGTGCCTGTGAAGGTGATATTTATGTATCAATTTAAAGGCAATAAAAGCTTTGCAAAAAACATCACATCCTTGCCCTCATTTAAAAGACGTACCTAATTCATATTTTAAATACTTTCAACTTCAATTCTGCATTATCTATTGCAATAGATAACATAGATAACACAGATAACATAGATAGATAGATAGATAGATAGATAGATAGACAGACAGACAGACAGACATGTCTTCTATATCTCAGAATAGATATCTTCTCATGCTTTGGTCTCAAAAATTAAGTTTCCTAGAGAGACTTAAAAGAAAGAAAAAAGCAAAACCAGCTCTTATAAATACATATCCCAGTCCCTAAAACGAGCCCTGCTGTTTAACTCGAAGGTGGAACCAAGACATAAAATCAATGAAAATCAAGACATAAAATAATCCCAGCCAAGGGAAAAGCCAACCCACCATGAGAACGGATGTGCCTGCTGAGGTTGCTGCTGTTCTGGAAGATCTTACTGCAGATGCTGCACTGATAGACCCTCTTGTGCTCCCCCAGCTGCTTTATCAGCTTCCGCCGAATCCCGTGTCTACTGGAGAGAATGAAACTTCTTTTGAGGGACATGGTGTTTTGGTGATGAGCAAACCTACTGGATTAGAGAGAAAGGCAGGGACTGAAAGCTAGCCCACAGGTTGTAACAGAGCTAGTAAAAACTAGAGGAGTGTTAAACTCAGCTCCTGGCAGGAGCAAGGGGGCCTGGATGGAGCTTGCCCAGCTCCAAGGTGCTCCCCTGGCCACCCCCTGGAAGCTGCAGGTGTCACTCGTTCCAGATTTTCTTCACCCAGAACCAACAAGGCAAAAAGAAACAGCAGAGGTTCTCTTTGCAGGCCCCTCAGAGGGACAGAAAGGGTCTGTTCTGCTCTGAAAACATCAGCTCTAGCTCAGCTTGGGAAGCTTGGCAGCCCCCATGTCAAAGCTGCATTTGGGCAGAGGGCAGCAGGGTGCCAAGCAGCACTGTGCCATTTCCCAGCACAACCAGCTGCTGAAATGACTTTGGATGGCTCTGTGTCTGCTAAGGACTTCAATATATACCATTACTAGCTAATTCATAAAAACTGAGTGCTCTATTATACAAAAAAAAAAAAAAAATTCAAAAGGCCAATTTTCCCAAGACAAAAAGACATCAAAGAATCTGAATTAATCATGTGATACTTAAGAGTCTCCCTGAGGTTCTGTTATACTGAAGTTTTCCCCTCCTACTGCTCCAAATCTGAAGTATCAAAATCAACATGAAGTCATTCATGAGCTAAGATGACAAGTAAGACTGAATAATAATAAAAATTAGTAACATATTCTGAAAGAAAAAATCTCTTTGCCTGTCTTATCACTAACATTCAATGGGAGTAAATTTCACCTTGCAGCTGCAGGAGGCTTTTGGAAATACAGAATAAAAGCAGTAACACGACGGAAAAAGAAATTTTCATTTATGTTATGTTCCAAAACCCTACCAGTGTACAAGTGGCACTCAAAATCACCTCTTGAAGCAGCAGCATCACACAATTTTATGCTGATAAAAAAGAGCATCTGTGTGGCCAGAAGTTGAGCAGAACTGTTGCATGCTACATCATCTTAGATACAAGTAAGAGGAAATTGTGCATCCCAGAACACTTACTTTGCCACTGAGCTGATGCTGTTTGTGGTGCTGGGCATCTTTCCTAAAACCAGGTCCATGATGCTCTCTTCTGGAGCTGGGGGCAGGGCCACCTCCTCTGGAGGGACCTCAGGGACAGCGTCAGCCACACGTTCCACTGCACACACACCAAAGAAATAAACACAGCAGGAATGTGGACAGCTGGAAACAAAACCTCAAATGCAGGATTTGTAATAAGAGGTGGCACTGGACAAATCAATTGTCCACAAGGAAAGAATTCAAAGAATCACAGAACAGTGTGGGTTGGAAGGGATTGTTAAAAATCAAATCCAACCCCATGCCACAGGCAGGGACATCTCACCTTTTTCTAATTTCTTACCTTTCCAAGCTACTACTGCAGGGTCAGTTGACCAAGCAAAATGAAATTTCCTATTAGAACATCCCTTCAAGGAGGGTAAAGCCCTTTATAAACTAAACTTGAGATAGAGAAATTTGTCCTCTTGAGAGGAAGGATGCTTCCTCTCCTGCTCCTTCTTGCAGTTCTCATACCCTGTGTTTCCCTGGGGCTCTCTACAAACATCACCAAAGAATGCAGGTGACTGCTGTAGGTGCTGCCTCCAAGGCTCTCAGAAATAACTAACAAAACTTGTAAATTGGCAGCTTTAGTGATCTAACTAAAAACCTCCATCTTGTCTCTGCTGCTTTTCAGGCTTTTCTGCAAAGGCACCATCACAGATGTATAAACAGATATTTGCTTAGCATTTTCCAGATTTCTATCTTACCTGCAGGATCTTTCTCCTCATCAATGACAAGAGGTGTTTCTACTTTTGCTGTTTTGGCTTTTCTCCCCCTCCTGGCCTTTCTCCTCGAGTCTGTGCTGGCACTGCCTGTATCACTTGCCACTGGTTGATCTGCTGGCACAGCCTCTGCTGCTTTCTCTGCTTTCTCAGCATCATTTTGGCTGCTTGGGGAGGCACCTTTGGCTTGTTCCAGGTGACTCAGCAAGTGCTCTGGGTGGATAAGGAAGAACAGGAAAGTAAGGAGAAAATTATCCTTAAAATAATCAAATGGAGCTAGCTCAAGCCCATCTATCAGGTCCATTTCACTTTGCAGTGACTTACTTCAAATTATTTCAAAAGCAGTCACAATACCTTCAAAAATCAAAGCCTACAGTCTATTCAACAGTCACAAGAACTGAATTTTTAAGGAGATTGGTTGGTATCACAGCAAAAAGTTTGTGTTTCTAATAATGAGCACATTTTTCCAAATGTCCAAGTTATTTACTGACTGAAGTCCCCTTTTCAAAAAAGATTCATCAAATGGCCAAAGCTTCTAAATAATTTTAAGCTCTGAAAAATTGCATAAAATAGCTGTAAATGAAAAACATGTACTTCATTACCCTTACTAAATCTGTGCCCTAAATACCAGATGGACAGTATCACAAAGTATAACCTGGCATCACTGACCTTCACACTGCTCATGCAGCTCCCTATCTTGATTTTCCTGACAGTCACATCATCTTCTAGATCACAATTTTATTTCTTCTAATTTTTTTATAATATATTTATTTTTTTTTTATTTCTTCTAGTTTTATTTCTTCTAGATTCAACATTACAGCTGTTTGTCCAGAGACAGGACACTGCTATGGTCAAAATATCCTTGTTCTACCTTCCCTACTACTGCTTTCCTTAAAGGAGAACAAAATTTAAAATTTTTCTCTTCCTGCACCATGGGTGGTGCATGGCTTCACAGCCATGGGAGAGCAGAACTCTGCTGAGGATTCTCAGTGCTCCCCCATGAATTTCTGGCACTTCCTACCTGTCAGCAGCTGGGGCTCTTGGAAAGCAGATGAACACACTTTACACGTCCACTGGTTGGGCTTTGCTTCTGCTGTTCCACTGCCTTCTGGAGTGTTCACTAAATCACAACAAGAAACACTGAAATACTCTGAAAATGGGGAGGTGGTAAAGCCCTGTAGCTTTGTTTATCTTGCAGTAAACTCCCTGAGTATCACAAGGTACAATTTAAGCAGCAAGAGGCCCCTGGGGGCAGCTGGGACCATTTCAGGATTCTCCAAACATGAAGAGTTGAACTATTGGAAGATATAAATGATGCCAGGAGACAACATCAGTGCCCTTGTAAAATCCTGAGGGCTCCTTTATCACTTTCTAAAGAACTGAGTCCATAAAAAGCATGGCATAAAGCAGTTTTTAGCACCTTTAAAACCAGAGTTACCAGTCTTCTTATGGATTAGCTGAGGACAGAAGCAGGACAAACCTCTGTGAAGGGCATTGCAGAGTAAGAACATTTGGATTAATGGAAGTAAGGGTGAGGACAATGAAAACCTGGGTTTCAGCAGTTTCATTAATTAGATGTGCTATGAAATCACCATACTAATACTTTAATTAACACATCAACTCAGGAAAGATGAAGAAATTAGGGCAAAAATGAAACTGGAATAAAAAAAAATAAAACAGGAAGAGTAACTCTGTTCACAGTCCTTTGTATTTCAGTCCTTAGATGATAAATTTGTCAAGAGGATCTGATAAATCTGGACTGATTCAGAGATTTTTTTTGGCACACAAAAAGCTGAGTAACACTCCTTCTGCAGAGGAGGAGGATGACACTGAAGTCAGGGTAAGTGAATGGCAGCACAGGGAATTCCAATTGTGCCTCAGTTTCTGCCACAGATTTCCTAGATGGTCATTACATGGCAGCTCATCTCTCTCTGCCTGAGGAGCCCATCTGTAAAGGGACAGTAAAGCTCTTCCTTCTTTATTGAACCAAAATAAAGATTCTCTGAGGCAGAGGCTGTTCCCTGCCACAGGAGGTACATTCAACACTCTGCACTACAGAGGTGTGATCTCATCCATGCTGCAATAAATAAATTAGTAAGAAATCACTTGGCAATACAGCAACAAAAATTCCCTCTTCACAGGCTACATAAAGAACTTCTTGAAGGCTCTGTCCAGGAGGACAAAAGCAGCAAACCAAGAGTCTGTGTAATTTAATTGTGTCTGACTCTGCACTTCCCTTGCTCCTTAGCTCCTTGTACTGGTTTGTCAGGAAAAGTCAGGTCCTTCTTAAGTTCCCACTTCCTCAGGTTTCCAGGGCAGCTGCAGGGCAACCTGGCTGACTTGGAACCACACATCTGACAGCTGGCAACTGCTTGAGGTATATGACTTGAGGCAAACAAAATCAAAACAAGAAAATTTTGTTTTGGAAGCACCAAATCAGTGGGAACACCTCAGGGTTCCCAAAATATAAAAGGCAGCTTTTTGTTTCTACTGAGGTTGGACTTTCAGGCAGTAGGGTGAAGGATGTAGGAGGGGCTGTTCCAATTCTTCATTTTACCTCTGGAAAAATCAATAATGCCAAACTGAAACAACTCCTCAGTCAACTTCAGAGTTTGGCTGTGACAGAACCCAAGCTGACAAATGGATCCTCTGATCAGCTGCTCTGAACACACCTGCAACAACTCCCCTCCTTTCCTCCCAGCTACTTTTAACAAGCAAAGCTTAGGAAAATAACCTCTCAAAGAGCACACCTAGAATGGTTTTCTTTTGATCTTGTGTACTCTGAGTGTAATTTTTGAAATTTGTGTTCAGTGGGTTCTTAATTTCACTGTTGCACTTTGCAGAGACTGGGTGAGGGGAGCACTGCTTTGTAATGAATCCTTGGGACAGAGTTCCTGTGACACTACCAGATACTTCCTCAGCCATGTGTTCTTTGCCAAGAGGATCTGTTTTGCTTGTAAGTTTATTGAAATTTTAGTTTCTGTAATTTAGAACAGTTTGAACTCTAATAGGGGCATATACTGTGGTATTGTTGTAATTTGGGGATGACCAATGTTCTGGTTATATTCCAAATTTGGTTATATTCCAAACATTTGAAATGTTTTCTTCTAGAGCTTGGCCTGATCATTTGAATTACTACACTTTGCACAGGCAGAATGAAGATTTTATTGGGAATTGCCCCCATCCCAACACTAACCATCTCCAAAGTCAGGAGCATTTGTGGTTTTCATGAAAATAATCTGCCTAAAAGTTTATTGGCCCCTCTGTCACTTTTTAACCTGTGTATGTACTTTAAGCACTGTGCCCATGAAAATGAAAAGAAAAATTCAGGCTTTCAAATCCTCTCTAAATTAGTATTTGCCAGAAGTTCTATATCTATAACACACATGTAGAAGTGTTACACCTAACAGCTCTGCACACCTGTATCTGCCCTCTATCTTCCTTAAGAGCACAGTAATTTTGCATACCTGCTGGATCAGCTGCTAATATGCTGGATTTCTTGTTTTTTTTATGGGGTAAGACAGCAGATGAAGGTTTTGAAGAGACCTTATTATTTCCTTCTTTATCAGACTCCATTGCTACCAAGGATGTATCTGTGAAGAGGAAAAAGAGTTCATCATTTTTACTGCCCATTCCCTTTGACTCTTGCTCTGTGCTGAGGGCAGCAACAACAGTCAGAAAGTTTTATTCTGTAACAGGCCTGCAAATAACATTCTCATGGAAAATTTTAACCAGAACATTCTTATATCTCACCCATTGTGCCTTAAATATTCTGGAGTGAACCATGAAGTGCTGAACAGAGAGTGCAGGGCATATTTTAACAGTATTTTAAAATACCCATAACCCCCCAAAAATACATGAACAGGTTAAATTAAAGAGGGAAAATATGAAACCTCTCAGTTAGTACCAACTGGAAACATCTCAGAGCACAGAAACATGTCAACTGCATTGATTCAGCTGCAGCACTTGAGACTCTGCTTAGGATCAAGGGCAGCAATAAAGCCGGTGGCAATGGCTTCTTCCCAAATTTGTCACCCCAAATTATACCCAGCAGAGCAGTAATAACATCCAGGGAGTACTCCCAGCTCAAGAGCAGGAAAAAAACATCCTTGCAATGTCAAAGGGTCTTGTCTTTCAGCTGTAGAAATGGAAAAGTAGGAGAAAACAAAGGGGAAAACACTGGAACTTGTGGCAATTCTAATTCAGATACTAAAATATCTGCTGCCTTTCTTTCCAATGCACAGCCACGTGGATCTTGCTCTAGTGGGTCCCATGTGAGGATGCTCAAGAGAAATCCAGTTTTTTAGAACTCTGTAACAGTTCTGTGCAAAACCAAACCATTTTCACTGCAACTGAAGAATGACTTCTTTAACAAATCTGTATACAGATTTCTCTGATAATTGAGTTTCTTTGCTGTTCTACCCACCCAGAAATGATTTGATACAAATGATTTGATACACCAAATCTTTAGTTAAGGACTATTTATCCAGTCTGTCCACTCTGAAGAGGCCGAAAGATTAAGTAGGACACCTGTTTTAAAAAAAAACCTGGCTGTATCATGGTGAAGAATCTACACTTTCCTCTTGCAGGGCACCCACGTGTGCAGGCTGGCCTGACTGTGCAGGATAAGAACCCACTGGATAAACAGCACTGTCACCTCCAACAGGCAGGGCCTATCAGTCCCTGCCAGCACTGGGCCCTTAGGAAGGAAGAAAGGCCTCCACACATACCATTGGCAACACTAGTGACCTGCTTCAGCACTGGCTTTTCCATTTTTTTGGCGTAAAAAGCTGCATACCACACTCTCAGCTCAGTTCCTGGGGGGATGTCCTGGCAGGTGGTGAAGTAAATGTCATTGTCATGCTGGAAGGCTGTGAGGTTTTGGTGCTCGTACTCGGTGGCTGGGCGCACCATCATCATCCAGTTGCAATCATCCTCGTTTGTGGTGTCAAAATACACCAGGGGCCCTTCCTTCTGGAACACCTGCCAAGCAAAATGGGCACAGAATAAAAACCATGAGAAATTATAGAAAGTTAAGGGAAAAAAAATATTTTCTGCTTTTGCAGTGGTTTCTTTTCAGAGGACATCAGGGACGAAGCAAACCTCAAGTCCTGCATCAGGAATCTTTTCATTATTATTTTTATTTTTTTTATTCATTATTCATCTTTTATTTATTCACATCTTGTCTGTCTCAGAGACAGACAACCAGGAGCAAGACTGGAACAAACTGAACAAAATCATCCCAAGAATTCTTGCTATAGCCACCAGTTTCCCAAAACTGGCATACATGAGTGGAAGGGTATCCAAATAGCCATCAGCCCAAGGCACAATTCTAAATCTTTACTTCTGAGTTAGGCATTAGTGGAAACTAAGACTGAATTCCATTTTTAATGTAGCATTTTTCCTACCAAAACTTGTCAAGAGAGGAATAAAACAAATGCAAGACAGAAAAAACCCCACTTATTCTGCATGTTCCATAAACCTAATACATATGGGAATCATTAGGAAAATTCAATTAGATTGAAGAGACTCATTAAAAGAACTGAGCTTCTAGTTTGGTTCTTCCCTTCTTTGCCCAGAGAATGTTTGTTTAGCTCACCTCTTACAGGGCACACCTAAAAGATGTTCCAAATAATCCCCCTTCATATCTTTGTTTTCATAGTGTTAGCCAGCATTAATTCCTCACAGGTTAAACTGACTCCTTGCTATTTATTGCTTTACAAATTCTGTGTCTTACCTTCAGGGGAAAAACTGATTCTTTCTCCAGCTTGAGAACTCTCTTGCATTCAAAGGGGCCAAACTGGGTACGTTTCACCAGCTGAGTCAGAGCAAACACTCCCTCAGTCCCATCCTCCAGCTGTCTTATCTCCAAATTAGAAGGCAGAGATGATCTAAAAATTTAAGAGAGAATTGAGGAAAAAAAAAAAAAATCACAGAACTGATTAGGTTGGAAAAGACTTCCAAGATCAGCAAGTTCATCCTTTGGCTGAACACCACCTCAGCCAGTAACAGTTATGCACTGCAGGAACCCCTGAAGAAAGAAATCAGCATTAAACTCAAGTGTTTCTGTGCTCCCAGCCTCTCTCTTTTCCCAAACAAGCTGCTGAGAAAACTACATGCAGCAAATGGTGTTACTATGTATAATACACAGAGAACAGCTTCCCAAAAATTCACTAGACTGGCCCCACAGTATTGGTTTTACAAACCAAGTACAATTCTGTTTTTTTAGGTCTGTGCTAACAGATGAAAAGCTAAAATAATCAGACAGGCTACTGACTACCCTGAGGTTGACACTGGCAGAACTGCTTTACTGCTTAGATAAAGAGAAATACAAAAAGATTGCAATCACAGTGATAAGCAAATGAATTGAAAACAATACTTTTAGTTTGAAGCATACAAGGAGCAGTGTTAGAGACAGAGAAGTTCAGCAGATGTTTCTCAGCCCTTCTTTTCTGAAGCATCCATTTGATCTTTTCAGTAAGACAGAGGAACAATAAACATGGTTAAGCAAGTAGACTGTTTTTAAAAGATCCATATCCAGTTTGTGGTTAAACTTGCCCTCAACCTCAGATAACTCATTTTCAGTTACTGCTCCCCTGATGTAAAGCTACAATTAAATTTCTTCTGTCCTTTTCTTACCTTACCTGATTTCAGCTGAAAACTCTTCAGGAAAATAAATACATTTATCTGTAAAAAATCAATTTAAAATGCTGCTTTCAAGTCTATGGTCCAGCAGCCCACACTTCCACCAGGGAAAACTTTGCATTTGCATGTCAAAAGGAGATTGAAAACCAGTGCAGGCACCATATTTGCAAACACTCCCAGTTGGAACATCTGGACATGAAAGTGCAAGTTAAAAAACGGAAAAAGGTAGGAAATAGTAGTTTGTCATGAAATGTGTGTAGCACAGGCTAGAGACTTACTGCACTGCCCATTTTTTGTATACAATAAAAGCACCTCTCCTTCTATTATTCCAAGGGGCATTTTTAAATGCCCCTCAGCACCTGTAGTGCCAGGGCTGTTATCCATGCACAGCTGCTGCAGGGGATCATCCAGGGAACGTTTCCAGGCCCAGGAAGGCAGTGCCTGGCAGGAGCTGCAGGGAAATTCCTCCTCTGGGAAGGCCAAGAAAAGCAGGGGCAGCTCCTGCTTGTACTTGGTGGGGCACCAGGAGCATCCTGCCCTGGCCAAGGGGTTGTGGCACCCAGGGGGCAGACCCAGCACATCAGAATTTGCTCCAAAATGATGCTGGGAATACACAGCACAGCCCACACAGGCAGGATGTGCCAGACTTGCTGCCCACATGCCTGTTTTCTGCCTGTGACTTCCCAAGAAGAAATATGGAAGCCCTGCACACATTATATAACACACAAAACCATCTGAACACTTCCCTTTTTGGATCTGCACTACACCTTCATAATAGTTGATTCCTTTCCTTGGCTTCTTTTCCTTGGCATTCTGCATCTTAAAATGAATTTTGCTGACAGTGCCTGATTGTCTTTCCCTGTAAAAATCACTACTCAGTGTTGTTTTCTCCCAACTAGATTGAGTCTATTTGTTTCTTTTGGCAAACATGAGTGTTTCTGCTGTGCTGTCACAGATTTGCTGACAGAACTATTACCCCTAATCGCTTGCAAAGCCCCACAATAATGAGAACAACTTGTTTTGCTTCTAAGTGGAAGAATGAGAGAGTTCATACACATGAATGAGAAATCCTCACACACTTCTCTGAAATGAATCTGGTGTATCTAAGGGGGATAAAAGGGGCAGGTACTCAACCATGACAGAAATCATCACCCCATCTGGCAGCACCCTGACTCCTTGCCAGAAACCTCAGCAATGAAACAGAGTCCTGATGAGCAGCAAGTTTTTTTTTTTTGGCTTCTATTCAGTGCAGCACTTAAGTGTGTGCATCAATTTTTCTATTTAATCAAGGCCATGTGCTTTCCATAGATTTCTGTCATCCTCTGGGACTTCAGTTTCCAGCTGTCAGTGTGACATCCACCGAACAGCAAATATGCTTTAAAGGACTAACATGGGGGTGTTGGGTTAGTCAGGATTAACACAAACATTTCTTACCTTGCCCTGCTCAATACAAAGGAGTCTTTGACTGTCACCACTGGGCCCAGCTCAGGACACTCTGAATCGTGGTACTGCCCACAGTCCTCACACCCTACAAAGAACCAGACAGAAAAGGTTGGTGGAAAACATTTTTCTAAGACAGTTTCCTCTCTCTTTCAAAAGAAACCTAGCACCAGGTAAAACACATACACAGAGAGGCAGATGTTTATTTATACTGCTTAAAAGAACATAAATAATTGAACACTGAGTGGATAGCTGGCACCTGTGTAGGTGAGATAACACACACTGTGATCAGTACATCAGAAGACAATTGTTTCAATTCTCTCACCAAGGCAAATGAATGCCTTACACCCACAGTAAATATTCTGCTTAAAGATGGCATTATTCTTCAGATAAAGTGCTGCAACACATGGCAGCTGAAGAAAACCACACCACTGCCTTCCCCAGGAGCTGGGCTGCTCTGAACAGCTTGGTGTTTGCAGTGACAGGAGGCTGTCCTGGGGTGACGTTATGATGCTTGTATCCCCATTCCTCTGTTCTGTGCCTTTAAGACCGGCTCTGAAGAGTGGAAGTTTTGTTTGGGTTTCTCTTATCAGGGACACAGAGACAGGCAGTACATAGGGTCTTTTTTCACTTCTCGCTTTCAGCTTGCTGCTTTGCTTGCTTGCTTTTCTGCTCTCGCTTTGGCCTCTGCTTATTAGCTAGGTCTAGCTAAACAGTCCACATCCATTCCTGGACTGTTCCTCCTCTCCTGTTCCTGTGACCATCTCGAACCTGCTCCGGACTGGGACCCGGGAACCGAAGGTTTGGCTGCAGCAGCTGCCCAGCGCCGGAGGGACTGAGAACAGAGCAACCACCCCCGAAAGAGACTTTCTGATTTTGTCATCTTTCTCAGAGCGGTGTCATCTGGTATTGTTCATTTTGTGTGCTGGGGGGTGCTGTGCCTGAAATAAACAGGTTCTTTCCACCTCTCTCCAAGGAATTTTTTCCCGAACCGGTTGGGGGGAGGGGCCGTGTGGGTTTTGCTTTCTGGAGGGGCCCCCTTTGGAGATTCTTTAACAAATTTGCCCTAAACCAGGACAGAGGCACAAACCCAGAACCAGCAGCAGAACTGGCACAGGGCTCAGCAGGGCACCAGCATGGCCAGCCCTGCCTGGCCACACGCATTTCTCACCCACAGGGCAGGACAGACACCTCCAAGGTGCCTCCTGGTGCCTTTCCAGACAAGTCAGCTGCTGCACAACACACTCTGGCCACCTAATTCACTGTCAGCTCAGCTAAATTAACTTTCAGTTTAAGTGGCTGTAAATTACCCAGAACTGAGTGGTTCCTAAGAAACAATTTTCAGACGAGGATAATTTGAGGCTTTCTAAAATAAGCTAACTTAACAGGATTCCAAATGCTTATACACTGCTTCACTGGGAAAAAATAGCTGTCAAACTGCCCTGCCTGGTCAGCTGCTGACACAGCTTCAGGAGAGATCATCACACAGGGGTTATATTGCTGTGCTGCCTTTTGCATCTGAGCTGCAAGCTTACAAGGGCAAGTCAGGAAAACCCCAGAAAATGTGTAATGTAAGGGTCACTGCACCTTTTTTGGGAAGACATGACAAAAGCCAAGTCATTCCAAGGTATATCCCCTCTGGCAAAGCCACTTTGTGCTCCCAGCTGGAAGCTTCTACTCATCCCAGTGAACAAAAGGACTTCTAAAACAAGGGATTTCAAACTGCTTCACATTTCTTCTGGCAGCAAAACCAGCTTAGTAGTGAAAAAATACATATATTTGACAGTACTTCTGGCTGTTGCAGCCCTCAAGCCTGGTCACTGCCTCCTGTTTGTGCTGCCTTCTGGTGAGCCAAGGAATGAAAGAACCAGCTCTTCACATGGTTTTTCAGAAGGAGGAATTTCCCAGCCTGGCTTGCTGTACAGCACCACAGAGTTATTGTACCAGAAGAAAGGATCCATGGGCAAGTACTACTCACAGAGCAGCAGCACCAAAGCTCAGCCTACAGCTGTCCTGTTCACTGTTCCACCTTTCCAGGTGTGCCTGTAGCCCAGGCTGCTGAAATTATGACTGAAAAATATTACTGAAACAATATTACTGAAAATATTACTGAAATAATCTGGGCTAAAAGCAGATTTCCCAAACCAGAGAGGACAGAGGAATGTGTAAACCTGACTGCTGAAAAGAAATGGACTGTCATCCATAAAGGGTTGTCATAACCAAGGGGACAGGAAGGAATAGCCTGAGTAACAGCTTCTCCAACAGGCTTTGCTGTCCAAAGAAAAAAGCACTTTGTCATTTTCCTCATCTGACTGCATCAGGGCACTCCTCACCCCTGCAAGGATAAGCCCCTGAAAGGTGCAGACAGCACTGGCCACAGCTACAGGCAGGAATAAGGCACACATTGCTCTCACTCCTCTGCAGAGCAATGACCAAGGCCAGGGGAATATGACAATGACATTGTGTGGCACAGCTCAATATCCAAGGGATGCCCTACAGCAGCCAAAGCTGTTACACCCACCATAGGTGACACTTTCAAGAGATTACAGCCACAGGAGAAACACAAAAACAAGCATGGGAATATTAAAAAAATACCCCAGGGAGACTATACTCAAACACTTAATAAAAAGAAAAATTCCCAAATTCTCTTGTCTATGAAATACATACTCAAGGATGTTTATTATTGGGAGTGCACAGTGCCATTTATAGCAACTCATTTTTTCAGAACATAAAGTCCCCATATTCCATGGGAAAAACTAATTGCAGAGAGCACAAGAAAAAGCCCAGTGACCACAGCCCCCACTGGAAGGGATAAAAAAATTCTGTGTGACACCTTCTATCTAATTAGGAGTGGCATCATATCCCCATTCTTTTTGCTGTCCACCAGAATCCTTTTGTGAAGGGGAAGATAAGGCAACCACTACTGGTATCTGCATCTCAGTAAAAAGGCAAACAGTCAACACTAGTTTTGAAGGAAGCTGAAAATTCAACTTTCCTGACCCTGGGAGGAAGAAAATTCAACTTTCTGACAGCTGACATAAATGCAGCTGTGGAACCATCAGAGGTAAAATATGTGGATCCTAAAACCAAGGATGTGCTCCATTGTGCTCTGCTCTGACTGGATCCACAACATCTGGGCCCTCTGTGCTCACACAAGGACTTTACATCCCTTAACCCTTTTCCAGTGTAACACCAGGTCCTGCCTGCCCAGGCTGCCGACAGAGGACAGGATCAGTGTGGCACCCAAGGCTGCACAGGCAGTGAATGCCATGAGGGAAACCTGCCAGGGCAGCTGGTGCATCTCAGACTTGTTCTGAAGGAATTCTGAGTCTGCTGCCCCTGCTGGGGAGGTGCAATCCCAAGGCAGGCCAGAGGTCAGAGCTATCCCCAGACAGCCCTGGCTGCTAGAGCTGGTTGTATCAACAAAGGGCTTACACCAGGGTGAGATCTTCAATCTCACTCGCTTCAGCCATGAAAAAGCTGTGCTGCTCACTCACATTCAGAGCTTTCATTGTGTGTTTGCCAACAGCATCAGAATGTGTATGCTTAAATTACACAAACTCCTCTCTATTCACCCATTAGATGCATGAGCCTCCTTTAAAAAGAGCAATTTTTCTAAATAAAATCTTATGTCTGGTTTAATTTCAGGCATCCTGAGTAGACAAGTCACATACAGTGAGAATCAGATCCTTTTCCTAATACTTACAAATAAACATAATCTCCTCACTGCCATCTTCAGCCATTATTTTAAACCTGCCAAAACACAAAAGAAAAAGTTAGTTCTGAATTGACTTTTACTTTCTGTATCATATTAACATTCCTTTGTGAAGTAATGATGCTGACCCACCCAAACACATTAATGTCTCTGCAGGAGTATCAATGGAAAATAAAGAAATTAAAGCTTTTTAAAAGCCCCAAAGACTGCTGCATCATTACATGTGTTGCACACATCACTGCCAAGGAAGCCTCAATGTCTGTGGGTTCTCAGGCATTTCTCTGTGAGGAAATGCTGTCTCCTGCTGTTCCCCATCTCTGACAAACTTCCAGCCACTCCTGCATCCCCTGCTAAAAAGCTCCTGTGGAGTCTCAGAACATGCAGGGCCAGAGGATAATCCAGGTCAGCAGCAACCACTGCAGGAACAAGGTCCAGTGCAACATTTTATTGAACACTGCAACATTTTATTTAGTTTTAAAAAATTATCTCTGAAAGGCAGATAACTTATTTAATAAGCACAGTAATCTCAAAAACTGCAGATACAGCCACAGACCTCCTCCAGAGGCAAAGGCATATTGTGGTACTGAGCACCAGAAAACCTGGGGAAATAAAACCCTGCCTCTGTCACTGGCCTTCTATGAAATGGTACCTAACCAATTTGATTTCACACTTAAATAAGGTTAATCCATATTCACTTCATTAGTGTCAGTCTGTATTAAATACTTGCATGAACACTATTGCCCCTCAACAATTAAATTACGGTTGGCACAAAGTCTGATTATGTATGGCTAAGACCACAATATGAGCAGGACCTAGAAGAGAGTTTTTCCCTTTTCTACCCAAAGAACACTCTCCTCCTCAAATAAGCAATTTTCCCAAAGCATCAGAAAAAAGGCAAAGCAACAAAAAGATCATGACCCAAGTCTGAGAGAGGTGAGGCTGCAAAACAGCAAGTGGAGGACAGGAAGGAGTAAGAGCCTGAATCTCTGAGAGGGAGAGCAAACATGACACACCAAACTCGCAGAGCCCTGTTTGAAAACAGATAAAGCAACAAAAGCCAAGCCAGAAATGTGGGAGCACAGGCACTGCTCAGGATCAGGACTCTCCAAGCACTGCCCTTCCTAACTCCACTGTCAGCAGCAGGATCCCTCCCTAACACTCACTGCTCTCAGGGGCAAACACTCCCCATCCGTGGCACAAGCTGGGCCTTTCCTGGCTGCAGCTTTTGGGGACTAAGCTCAAATAACAGAACAAACATTTATACAAAAGCTCAGTGCTGAGCAGGAACAGCAACTCAGGAAATTTCCCCAAAAGCTCTTTTCCTGAATAATGCAACAGGTATTGAGGAGAGTCCAAGCACAACGCTGCAAAAACAAGTGATGTAAGCTGTTGTCAAAAATGGTTTGCTTTGCTTTTTAAACACACTTATTTTTTTATGCTTTGCACTATTTCAAGAGGGGTATGCCCAGCTGTTTTTAGATAGTTTGTGTCCTTACAAAACTTTAATCCTAAATATGGGTGAATTAAGGAATAATGGCCTTGATGAATGGTTCAGAAGCTCAGTGCAGCCACACCACCAAAGGCATTCAGCCTCCGGGACATCCCTCTGTCGCATCCTTGGCAAAGAGACTGGGGACAAGTGACATCACAGGAGCCATCGGATGAGAACAGCAACAAAGGGGTGGAGAAATCACCAGCGCTGCTCAAGGTGATGGGGAGGGAGCGTGAAGGGCCCTCAGAGGTGCCTCGGGCAGCCTCAGCTCTGCATTAGCGCAGCTCCCTCCCTGCAGCAAGGACGGACTCGTGCTGCTCTGCACTCCCAACACTCCTGGTCCAGCCTCACCCCTGCTCCCCAACACACACCGCTGCCTGCTCCACAATTCTGATTTACACCCTGCTCACCCAAGCGCTTTCCAGCCCCTCCTCCCTGATCTCAGCTGTATTCCCCAGGGGTTTTGGAAACAAACCACACAGCACGATGCCACCAGCTGTAAACAGTCAGGATGTGCCACTCACATGGTGGCACTGAACACAGGGCTGTTTTTGCCCTCATCTGCTGCTGCTAAGGGCCACAGGGTCTATTTTTTTTTCCTTTTCAAACATTTGTAACACAAAAACACTCCGTGAAGTCACTCATCTCCGAACTCTGCTCTTGTCTTGCAAAGCTTCTGGGAGTTGCAGGTATTTTTTACATAAAACAGAGAGTAATCATCAGCAGTCAATAATCAGGAGGAAAGCCAGACAGAGGAAACTAGACCAGGTACAAAGCCTAATTCTGATGGCAGCAAAAGAGCAGAAAACTACGTTTTTTGGTTTTTATAATTAGAGGAGTGATTTTATGCCTGAGAGTAGAGCCACACAGCTATGCACAAAAATTCCAGCTGCAACACAAGCCTTGGAGCATATCTGGAACTTGAGGGAACCCAAATTAAGATATTGAGGAGCTGCAGCATCACAGGTACCTGCTCGCAGCCCAATATGTACAGAAATACTGTCAGGGAACCACTTGAGCTGTAAAAATTTAAGAATGGATGTAAAATCACACTTTGTCCTTATAAAGTGCTGAATAAAGACATCAGGCTCAAGTGCTAAGTTGAGCCATTTTGATCTTGCTAATGGATTTTTTTTAAAAGTAGGTCAGAAAAATTAACAGAATGCCTGAAAATCTGTGTTTGAACTTAATGATCAACAAGGTAGAATTAAAATTCTCCTCTCTTCAGTCTGAGAATGGGCTTCTATGAGAGTGAATAACTTGAGAGCACAAGCAGATGGGTGCTGCACATACGTATGTGGAAGGATGCGCTTAAAAATGCAATTTTCCTCATGATGTAGTAAAACTTGTTCATGCCACCGCTCAAAGGAATTGCAGAACATCTGGCGAACTACAGCGAGGCCTTGTATTTCTTAAAAAAATTAGGGTCATTCTATCAATTATTGTTGAGGAGGGAGCCGATTTCTAGGCCAGTCATGGGGGCATGGCGGGGTCCGTGCCACCTGCCCTTCCCAGCGCTTGCCGCGATGCTGCGAATAAACTACGCGCAAAGTTTAATGGCCCCGAGCAGAAAAGGAGCGTGCTGCAGGAAATTTCACGTGTGCGGAGCCCCGCAGACCGCGGCTCTGTGAGCGGCTCTGCTCCTTTTGTCTCCTCGGGCTCCACCGCACCCTCTCCCAGGGCACACACCGGGGCAGGGCAGCATCCCCGCACCTCCCTCCTCCTCCTCCTGCCGCTCCCAGCCTCTTCCCTCCGGATCACGCCCTCGCACCTGGGAGCTCCCACCCCCCTCCATCGCCAACCCCCTGCGGCCAAGCCGCTCCCCGCTGCCGGCCCCGCATCCCCGTGGCCGCCAGGGCTCCGTGCCCAGCCCGGCCGAGCCCGCGGGGATCGCCCCGCGCCCGCTCCCCGCCCTCCCCTCAGGGACCGCGCCGCCGCCGCCGCCGCCCGGAGCCCGTCGGGGCCCGGGATCCGGGAGCGGCTCCGCCGGGTTTTGCCTCGGACCCGCCTCGCCCCCTTCGCTACCGCCCTCCCGGCCGCTGTAACAAAGAACAGGCGGCCTGGAGGAGGCGGCGGCGGCGGAGGAGGAGGAGGAGGCGGCGGGGCCGCAGCCACCGCCGCCGCCCCGGGAACGCTCGGAGCGGCCGCCGCGCCCGCCCCGGCCCCGCCGCGCGTCCCGGGGAGCGGCGGGAGGAGACGCGGCGGGGCGGGCGCGGGGGGTCCCGGGCGGGGGTGGCGGGGAGGGCGCGGGGCGCGGCGGGAGGAGCGCGGGGAGCCGGCGTTACCTGCCCCGGGAATGGCCAGACCCGGATCGGATCCGCGCTCCGGGTTCCGATCCGCTCCGGAAACCACGCGCCAGCGGAAGCCGGCGCGGGCGGGCGCGGAGCAGGGCGGGAAGTGTAGTGCGGCGGGGCCGGCCCCGGGCCTGACCCCGGCCGCGTCCCCGGCCATGGCCCTGCCTCAGCGCCCGCGGGGCCGCCACCCGCGTCCCCTCCCGGGCCGGTCCCACCCCTGAGCCCCCGCAGGTCCCCGGGCCGGGCTGGAGGCGGGGGGACCCCGCTGAAGGCGGCGGAGCAGCCGGGTGGCTCTCCCGTCTCCTCACGGGCAGTGCCGGGGAGCGGGCTGGCTGAAACAGAACCACAGGATCGAATAGGTTGGAAAAGACCTCCAGGACCATCCAGTGCAAGCTATGACCCAACACTTTTTCTGTGAAAAATGCGTATTTTATGATTGGCTTTTCGCAAATATTAAAATGAATATTACATGTGTTGGGTTAGAAAGTAATGCTGTATAAATTCTCCTAAGTAGTGTGTTAAATATGGTTTTAGGTTATAAAAATGTTGAAATAGAAACTATGCTATGTAAGATACTTTTTTTAAAGAAAGGACTCGCAGTGAGACAGCAGCCACAGGACACCTGAATCTTTCACAGAAAAAGAATTTATTGCTCCATTATCAGAAGAAACAAACTCCTTCCCGCCTCAAAGGCGCTGATAGGATCCAGAGTAAGAAGTTGATGGTGACCAGACAGAATCCTGTATTTGAATGGAATTTATGCATCATGTATGAGGTGTATGAATATGCAACAGAATATTGTTTTTAAGGGTTAATCCTTTGTTAACGTGGGTCCTTTTTCTGCTGCCCCGAAAAAGGTACCCAGATGTCTGTAACTCTTTGTCTTTATTGTCTCATATTGTCCTAATTCAATTTGTCCAAATTATTATTACTCTAATTGTATTATTATTTTATAACGATTTTATTACTATTAAACTTTTAAAATTTTAAAAACAAGTGATTGGTGTTTTTCACACTGTCCATCGGACCATGGCACTGAGAGCCACATCCAGTGTTTCCTTAAACACATCCAGGCGTGGGGACAGCACCACGTTCCTGACCTGCCTGTTCCAGTGTTAAATCACATCAGTGAAGAAATTCTTCCTGATGTCCCACCTGTCTGTCCCATGGCACAGCTTAGGCCATTTTCCTGCCCCCTGTTCTCTGGGAACAGAGCCCAGTTCCCACCTGGCCGTCCCCTCCTGTCAGGGAGCTGTATGGAGCAGTAACATCACCCCCAAGCCTGCTTTTCTGCAGGCTGAACACCCCCAGCTCCCTCAGCCACTCCTCAGAGAGTTTCTGCTTCAGACCCTTCCCCAGCTTTGTTCCCTTCCTCTGGACAAAAGCCACACCAGGTTCTCGGTGGGCCCAAGCCCTGGCCATGCACACGAGCACCTGTGCCTCCTTTCCAAGCCTCTCTGAGGTTCAGCGCTCCAGGATGACAGGACATAGTCTAAAGTTGCATCAGGGGAGGTTCAGGTTGGGCATTAGGAGGAATTTATTCACATAAAGCATAATTTGACATTGGCAGGGGCTGCTCAGGGAGGTTTGGAGTCCCTATTGCTGGAGGTGTCCAAGGAGTGCCTGGATGTGGCACTCAGTGCTCTGTGTCACAGACATCTTTCATGAAAATCCTTTCTTTAGGATTTTTCCTCCTGAGAAGCTGAGAGGCCTCAAGGACAAAATGTAAACAATGATTATCTGCTGTAGAATGCAACAGGTAGAGTTTGATTAGTTTAATGTAGTTGTTTGTAATTAATGGCCAATCACAGCCCAGCTAGCTTAGACACAGAGCCCGAGCTACAAACCTTTGTTATCATTCCTTGCTATTCTATTCTTAGCTAGCCTTCTGATGAAACCTTTTCTTCTATTCTTTTAGTATAGTTTTAATGTTATATATATATTATAAAATAATAAAACAAGCCTTCTGAACACATAAAGTCAGATCCTTGTCTCTTCCTTCATCCAAGAACCCCTGTGAACACTGTCACAGCTCTGGGCTGGGGACAAGGTGGGCATCAGTCAAGGGTTGGATTGATCACCTTGGGGGTCTTTTCCAACTGAAATGGTTCTATGATTCCTAAATCTCACATTCTGGCATTACCAGGGTCTGTCAGTGCCCAGCCCTGCTGTGCCTGCCAGCACAAATCATTAAGAAGTTTAAACCTTCAAGTTATTTCACCACTCCAGGCAGTGGCCAGGGCAGGAAGCATGCAGGCTTTTTGTAGATGCCCCCATTTTTTGCTCTGCTGAGAAATGTTGCCTGAAGTGGAGTCACCCCAAAGCCTTATGCAGTGCTCCCTGCCACCATGGTGCGACTGCTCAGCCTTCACTGTTAGAACACCACTGGAGCTCAGAAGGTGGTGGGAAGCTGGCACCAGCTCTGCTTTCTCCAGGGAATGTGCTCTTCTCACATCTGGATACATCTTTAACAGCTGGAAACGGCCAGAGCCTTTCTCAATTGTTACCCATCCCAAGTAACATTTTCAAAAGAGATGTGTAAAGAGTGTTCTGAGAATGGGTCAGGCTGGAAGGGACCACAGTGGGTCAGCTGGTCCAACCTCCCTGCTCCAGCAGGGCCATCCCACAGCACACAGATGAATCTGGAATAACCCCAGCAAGGGAGACTCCACAGCCTCTCTGGACAATCTGTGCAGGGCTGGGTCACTGCACAGGGAACTTCTGCCCCATGTACAGGTGGAGGTTCTGTGCATCAGTTTCTGCCCATTCCTCTCATCCTGTGCCAGAGCCTGGATCCATCCCCTGGCGATCCCCCTTTAGCTATTTATACACGTTAATGAGGTTCCCTCTCTTCTTTAGACTGACCACCCCCAGCTCCCTCAGCCTTTCCTCACAGCAGAGATGCTCCACTCCCTTATTTTGTCACTCTCCCCCGGTCCCTCTCCAGGAGCTCCTGGCCCTGCTGTGCTGAGGAGCCAGAGCTGGGCACAGCAGCCAGAGGTGCCCCAGGGCTGGGCACAGGGGCAGCATCAGCCCTGACCTGCTGGGAATGCTCTTCCTGATGTACCCACGACACCAAGGCCATACTGACTGTCTTGTCAGTGCTTGGGGAAACTGAAAACACAGCATTTCAATTTCCAAAATATTGTCCTTTGCAAAAGAGTGTTCATTTCAGGATGGAGAACCATTTCTTCTTTCAAAATTACCCACCAGAAGTTTTAAATGACTACAGGAGTAGTAAGGGGAGGTTTTTTTTAAGGATCTAACTGCATGTACAAATTATTTGCTTTTTCAAGGACTGAAGCTGACTGGTAGTTTTTGTATAGTCTGCTTTTACTTATTTTCCCTGTATATCTCAGTGCATACTCACATAGACTTCTGCCTGGTTGTGTCCAGCATCCAGCACACCAGAGGGGTTTATCCTACTTGCAGTGCATTCACTTTGTCACAATAAGTATACATTAATTCAGTATAGTTATCTGAACATTTACAATGCATGTGAGACTGGATCCTGCAGCTCCAAATTATTTTTTTCAGCATTAACCTCAGACTGTGAAATTGCATCTTATGCCAGGCTCACCTGAGTAGAGAGGTGAAAAATTGAAGATCTTTTGTATTTATTAAGAATGATGAACTGGAGGGAAGAGCATGGTGCCACACTTGGAGCTACATCCATTCCTGCTGTCCCCCTGAGAGGCCTTGTCACTTTTGCTAATGTACAGGAATGGCATCACACAAGGTAAAAAACCTCGCCACAGATTAGAGCAGGGAGGAAAAGGATGAAGGTTTGTTAATATCAGGAAGTTTGAGCTAAGCACTTAGATAATATGGAATAAACACGTGGGCAGTAACTCCCAGCAAGGGAATGTAACATTTCCTTGTAAAAGAGGGTACAGCCCTCACCTTTGGAAGGGAAACAGAAACATTACTGTGGCTATTTTCACGTGAATGTCTTTTATTTGTTTTGCTGGGTTTTTTGTTGTGGTATTTTAGTGGTGGGGTTGGGTTTTTTCCCCTCAGTCTGTCAGGGCTTTGTGGCAGCAGTGATTTGTAACATAACCTTTTCAGTAAAATCATCACAAGGGAACCTAATTCCCAGGCTGGGCTCATTCTAGTATTGGTGTCTTCCCCATAGAATCCAGGCCCTAAAACTCCCCCCCCCTTTGCCCCCTAATTTAGGATATTACAACATAACTGAGAGAAAAAAATACTGAGTAACCAGAATGAGCTCCACAATCCCTTCTGCCATTAGATTCCCTACCCAATCTGTGTTTCAGGTGATTTCTCAAGCACCAAGGGGCTGCCTGATAGGCTGGGGTTATCAGGAAAGGACTCTGCTCCTGAACAAACAGCTAAATGCTCTGTGTTAAGCAACAGGTCAAAGTAGTGAAGGAGGGTAGAAAACCATCTGTTACACCTGGGTATGTAGGACAGCACACCACACAGAGACAATTGGCTTTTATTATATGTACAGCAGGAGTTACTTCTTTAAAAAAATCCTCTTAGGTTTTTGTAGTGATAGAATAAATCTGTACATCATAGATTTTATAATTGCACCAACTTGAGTTTATGTATGCACAGAAAGAAAAACACACCACAGAAGTGACTATGACAGTTGATGCTAGAAAATAAAAATGTTTAACCCCACCTGGAATAATACAGAGCATAATACATCATTGGGAAATAGAGAATTATAATACTGGAAAGACCTCAGATCATCCTTCCCAGCTATTTTCACACCATGCCAGCACCTTGCATAGTAGCAGTTTGGATATCCTGAGCGAAGTGGTATTATTCACCCTTAACTTAAAGTAATCACCCTTGTTATATAATTAATCTGGAGTTGTTTGTCACCAAGGCTGAGGCTTAGCAATGTGCAGAAGCATATGCTGACTTTAAACACATGAATAAATCCACTTAGGTCCTGTGGAGGTCAGAGCATGAGGTCAGCTGTTCCCACTCACAACAGGAATGTCTTAGCCTGGAGCTATGGCACAGTTAATTCCAGAAGCACTTCTCTCAAACCTCAGCTCTGCAAATCAAAGCCTGCAATAAACTCAACTGAAAAA